TTGAGCCGTCCTCTTGAATCAGTTTCAGCCAAAATCTGACCATTTCAATATTAACATAAACTCTAACTGAGTGTCTTCCTAATTCACCCCTTACTGCAGCATTGGAAGCGTTGAAACTAACTCTCAATAGAAATTTACAAAACTTATGTACTAATTTACGACCATAATTATATTCACTTCCAAAGTTTAGGGGGTTCGACTGAACCCCCCGAACTCCCCCAAACTACGGGCCTGCATCATTTCTTATGGATTGTCTGTTTAATTTTACTTGATTCGAAAATATCCAATTGTATTCCCGCGTGATATGGACTCCCTCCCCTCTCAAGTGACCGTCAGGTGCTAACTCTACACATATACAATCGCGTTTTTTTTTTCTTTGGTAATTTTTTCTTTTGAAATTTCAATCTCTTTCTGATCTATCCCAGCCATCCAGCCATTCTTCGCATGAATAATCAGAATAATGCGTCACTGTCGAATCATGTACAACTGTATGTCAGACTGTGGTTGAATGTCACCACAGGCGGCGCTGTTCGACATAAATTTCCTTTTCGTATCGGCCTGGTCAACTTGTTCGTACACTTCCGGTTGCATGTGTCTCACAGCTCTATGTTTTTAAGGATACAAGAACCCAGTGAACTGACTTACTTGCTGTTTAAATGGATCTGCTACCATCATCCCATGCGGAATTCAGTTCCTCGAAGTACTGGGACTCATTCTTCAAAAAGAGGGGCCAGGCAGCGTTTGAATGGTAATATATTATTGGTATGCTCATGAATTTGCCATCAACTACAGCGTTGTGGGCTTGAGGGTTGACCAAAAAGAGTGAGGGTTGTTGTTATTACCGAGCCTTCATAAGAATGCTCATATTAATAATTTAGGCCAACTATCATATGTATTTTTATATTCGTGCCTAAATACAATTTGTATAGCCCCCCCCGACTTCAGTGTTGTGGACTGGAGGGATGATTTGTTTTTACCATGCCTTCATTAGAGTACTGATATTTATGCTATGATATGTATCTCCATTTTTTTGCCCCCCCCCCATTGATTTAATTTAAAAAAAAAAAAAATTTAAAATGAGATGTATCGAAAATCAAAATAAATAATTACAAGATTGATGGAGGATATTTTGCATATATGAATAAATAATGTTGGGCTCATTTTAATTTTTCAAAAATATGAGTAGGTATGTTATTGATAACACAAAAATTATTTTATTTGGCCTAGTGCCTAGCCCTGAATTTGATGACAAGTTTTGATGTACTAATACATGAAATTATAACATACAATTTTTATTATAATTTAGTACCTAGGTGTTGTAAAAAAACAACAACATTCAACGAAATGTCATGCGCCATGATTTAGAAGGGTTGTCCAGAGAGTTTATAACCTGGCCCTTTTTTTTGGATAGGTTTTAAAGTGGTGTATTGGATTAAAACAATTTTATAATAAAATTTAAAAGTTTATAATTTAAAAAAAACACAAAAAAAACAACAACAAACTGTTTTGTAAAATAGATATACATAAAAAAGATTGCTATAAAACAGAGTACATAATAAGGCATTAGCCAAGGGAGTGAACTGCAATTCAAGAACATTATGAGAATCATTTACTTAACCTCACCAATTTATGGAACCATTCATCAAACAATCTTATCACATAGATGCATATTGTGCGTATCTACACAGAGTGATACAGGACAGACCAGGAATACATATCACATAGATGCATATTGTGCGTATCTACACAGAGTGATACAGGACAGACCAGGAATACATATCACATAGATGCATATTGTGCGTATCTACACAGAGTGATACAGGACAGACCAGGAATACATATCACATAGATGCATATTGTGTGTATCTACACAGAGTGATACAGGACAGACCAGGAATACATATCACATAGATGCATATTGTGCGTATCTACACAGAGTGATACAGGACAGACCAGGAATACATATCACATAGATGCATATTGTGCGTATCTACACAGAGTGATACAGGACAGACCAGGAATACATATCACATAGATGCATATTGTGTGTATCTACACAGAGTGATACAGGACAGACCAGGAATACATATCACATAGATGCATATTGTGCGTATCTACACAGAGTGATACAGGACAGACCAGGAATACATATCACATAGATGCATATTGTGCGTATCTACACAGAGTGATACAGGACAGACCAGGAATACATATCACATAGCATGACATCACACATACTGCCAAAATTTGTTTTAGTATTATATACATGTATACTATCTGCAGGTTTTCTGGAGCTTTCAGTTATGTATGGCTAGATAACTAAAGATTGTAGTAAACCAATACTTCATGTTGGCAATCTAGTGTGTTTATTTTCTAAATTGTCTCTCCAAAAAAAAAATCAGTTCGGAAAAAACAAATCCTAGCAAGTTTTGGAAAATATCACAAGATGTTTATGTGATATGGAAAATAAAAATAGATTTTTCTGATTCGTCAAGTGGTTAATAGTACTTTTACAGATTGTATGTATACATATGTGATTTTCTGATCACTGCTCCATCTCGCATATGTGAAAGCTGCAAATCTAATATGCCACTAAAATCAAATGATTGGATTTTGAACTTGAATTTCATTTTTAATAGTTCAGTGTTGAAATACCAATCTTTTCAGAAAGAAACACGGCAAACTTCATCAAAACAAACAATTATCAAATGCGTACAGCACATTTAATAAGCGTGGAAATATCCTAAAAAAAATGTTGCTTATGTTGAATCTTGTGTTGTTTTGACACCACTATGATGTAAGACCTTAGTTTGTCCTGTTTTTTGTTTGGTTTCGCACAAAGCATGGAATCTTGAACAGAAAATGGCATATTATTGTGAAATAATCGTTTTATAAGCTTTGAACTGTACAATGTAATAAACTGAAAGGAATAGAATAGTTGAATTTCTTGAACTTTGCCATCAAAAGTCGGGTTGACGGATCCGTGAAATTCACTGATACACATTTTATTTAATGTGATAAACAAACATTTTGCTTCTTAATTATTAGGTATGGGGAATATCCTGAATTGAGTCAAGTCTTACATAAATACATCAAACCTGTTGATAAAGTATTGGTTGTGGGGTGTGGTAATTCAAGACTCAGTGAACAGCTTTATGATATTGGTTATTATAATATTATTAATATTGATATCAGTGACATAGTTATAAAGCAAATGAAATCAAGAAATGCAGAAAAAAGGCCAAAAATGGTTTATCAAAATATGGACATGTTAAATGTAAGTATTAACTTTTAGTGTATTAGTTTGGGCTCGCCATGCATTGAGGTGTGTTAAAGTTGGAACATATACTAAGGTTTAGCTTCACATCTTAAGGAAAATTGGAGATTAAATTCAATAAGTTACTTTATTATTTGTGATTATGTGTCACATGATGTTTACTTAGTATAGATTCTATTATGGCCATGTGACTTACCTCAACCTAAATAAAATTATATCCTAACAGATGGAGTACACTGACAGTGAGTTTAATGTAGTTTTAGATAAAGGCACATTAGATGCCCTGATGACGGATGATACTCCAGATGTACAAGAACAAGTTAACAAGATGTTTGCAGAGATTAATAGAATATTAAAGATTGGTGGGCGTTATATTTGTATATCTTTAGCACAGGGTCATATTTTACAGAAATTATTGACCTACTTTCCAGATGAGTATGTATGACTTTATATATCTGTGTATACGTAAGGTATAGAATGTGTATCTGTCAGAAAACACTTAGACGCGTCTTCAAAGATGATCATGAATTTTTTGTCTCTCCATCAATGTTTCTGACCTCTTAATCTTTAAAATCATTAAGCTTTTACTTGCCACCCATCTACATTGAGTGTTTATTTTTTAGCTTGTTCATTTTAAGACAATATCTGTGATTTTTCTTTTGCTCGAAGAAAAACAACTTTGCATACATTTCAGCACTAGATCTAGTGCCATTACACCCCTAGATCTAGTTTTATTATGGATTAGGCCAGACTTTTATTATCCCTTGTTTCGCGAACCCGTCGAATAAACAGGAGCCAAAAATGAAATCAAAATAAAATTTTATTTCAGCGTAATTTCTCGCGCCCGCCGACTTAAGTGCAAAAAATTGCTAAAAAAAAACTTCTTCTTCATTTTTTTTTTGCCCGCCGCATAGCAAACCCAAGTTGCATTTTTGTGGGAGTATCATGATCAAAGTACCGAATTCTCACGCATATGAGAAACAAGGTTATACATAGAATAACATTTTATTTTATTACTTCTCTCTGATCAATGATCTCACTTACAATTCTTTGAGAATCACACAAATCTAATCGAAAAAAAGAATTAATTTTTTTTTTCGCCCTCCTCAAAAAAATTGCCTTATAAAAAATCCAGAAACAAAGAATAAAAAAAGTCTGGCCTTAGCGTCAGCTTTGTAGCCAAGATTAACATGCATTATTCATGAATAATTAAAAAATTTCTGTGTTTTCAGAGGTTGGATGGTGAGAGTTCACAAAGTTGAACAAAACATATCAAGTGATACCACCAAAAGAGACTTTCAACTTCCAACATTTGCTTTTGTATGTACAAAGTTTAAAAGTGTACCACAAATGGAAAACAAGGTAAGACTCCTTTTATTTAAAATATCACTGTGCTGTAAAAGGGTTTTAATTTTGCTTATTTCACTAACTGGAAAATGTGTTAAATTAAAACCCAGGATTATGTCAATTTTAGCATAGAACACATTTAATGATAAAACCGAGAATTTAAAACCCACCGAATATGCCTGTAATGGAAATCAGCGAAATTTAAACCCAGTGAAAATTACCGGTAATCATTTTATAGTATATCTAAGTGCCATAAACTCCCTGTGTCTTTACCTGTGTCCCCCCCCCCCCCTCTTGTGCCCAATCTCTTCTGGGTGCTTCTGTTTCACTCATTGGTTTTCTGTATTTGTACAACTCACTGTCACACTCCCTGGGTACCTTCACTGGGCACCTGTTTGATGGGTGCCTTCCTGTACCCCTATCTGTACAACCCACTCTCTGGGTGTCTAGCTCTCTGTGCACTCTACTTGGCCCCTCACTGGGCAACTCCCAGTTGTGACGTTGTGACTAATTTAGTTCGCTTAAAACTCTGTCCCCCAAACTGAGACACTTACTGGTTACCTCCCTGTGCTACTTGGTGCAATCAATGACCATATAAGTACATCTGCAGTATTTAAACACATTAACATATCTTGATAACAGTTACTTGAAGTATGTATGGATGACAGTGGTAAACTGAACAGAGTGAAAACAACTCTAGATGTCATGAAAGCTGTGGAAGAACAACAGCATTATGCAATGATTAGACAAAGTTTAGTTAACAAGTGAGTCTTAGTTTGTGTTAAATTATTCACTATTTTACTAACTGAAGAATGGCATGAAATCTGAGATTCTGTTTGTGATATATGCAAATGTATTCAGTGAATTTTTATATGATGTGCTTATCGTAATGTGTAAAATGTGTTTTGTATGTTAATTTGGAAATGTCTAGTTCCTTACATGGTTTCCATAGTAATGCTCATAACTTGCATTCAGATATAAATACAGTAAAATTTATTTATTATTTTCACGCATCCAATTTTTGAAACTTTGGATAATTTAATAATATGCACATGACAAGCATTAACGTTTTCACCACCAGACTTTCTCACCAAAATTTGTCTGCACTTTTCCTGATAAATTCTACAATATTTCTGGAAATGAACCCTAATTTTAAAGCCAACAGACAAAATTTTAGTAAATTTTTAGTTTTTACTCAAAAAAAATTGGCTATTTTGGTCTCAATCTTCTGATGGAAAGTCCAGACTATAAACAGGACTATTTTGTGAATTTTGAAAAAGAGGGAACCGGTGATGAAAAGGTTATACCGGTATCTTAATTTTGGGGTTGAAAACGGCAGTGAATTATAGCGTAACAGGGAAATTGCACTACTCATTGTTTTGTTTTTTCTTGTGGACTAGAGAGAAAAATGCAGGCCAGTATGACTATAAATACACCCAATATATTGAATATTTTTCAAAACATTGGCAAGCACAAAAAACAACAACAGCTGATTTTTTATTATTATACTGCATATACTGCACTAGATGAAATACATATGACTCAAACTGGCCACATACATCACATTGAAACATAAATGCTATTGTTGAAATGAAATCATGTTTAATTTTGTAACATTTCATTTCTTGGAGTAGTTTTATGTGAAATAAAGAGATTAGGTTTGCTTTGTGCATGTTTAACCCCCCCCCCCCCCATGTTTTGCAGTTGTTAGCCATGAGTATCAATCAATACATTCTTTATAACAAGTACATTTGATAAAAACTTTTTGGATCATTGTGTTATTCATTTTAGAAGTCATATTGATGAAGATATCTCGTTGGATCTTTGTGTCAGTTCTTCTGATATCCCAAGATATACCCTACACATAGTTGACAACTTACATGCCAGGCGTCATCACCAAATATTTGCTGTTTTTATTGTCCCACAAGGAAGGTGAGTAAAATTCCGAACTGAATCTACTACAATTTTTTCCTCCTGTCTATTTTTAAACATTCTTTGGTGATATTTTAGATAATTTTGGACCAGACCAAATCTTGGTTGCCATTTGCAACTACGATCAATTTATGAATAGATAAAAGTAATACAATGTACACACTTTTAGATTATATTTTTGGACTGATTTTAAATCATATTTTAGAAACATTAATGCTGCTTCCTGATAAAAACATTCATTTCAAGAAACTGTACATGTGGTTGTTTTTAGTCCCTGTTCAGACGCAGTCTGAAAATGGGGACTTATGTTTTGATCTTGTCCATGCATCAGTGCGTGCATCCGGACCTGTATCTTAGACATGCCTGGACCAATCACAATCAAACTTCACACATACATCATACATAATATTATACAAAAGCACATCAATTCGTTTCACAATCTGATTTATGCTAAAAAATCATCAAAATCAAGCATATATTGATGGATTTTGTTTTAACTTAATTGGTACATACGTTGGACATTATGGGACCTTGATGCACATCATTTTATTTTTGAGATCCAATTTAAAATGGCCGACTGGCGGCCGTTTTGTTAATGAATGCAAAGCCATGCTTTGACTGATTATGTTCAAATTTGATATATTCATATATTCATAGGGAAACTGAATGGTTATTTGGTGACAGAGAAGGCAGAAAACAACTTGCAGACTCAGCGGGATTTAAGAGACTTATTGTGGTTTTGTTACATCGAGAACATAAGTATGATAATATGGACAGTATTAAAAGTGAATTATCAAGTAAAGTCATGGAATTATCGCCAACTGGCATGGATAGACAGTTACAGGTATAATACTTGACAACTTAAATCCGTGTTTGTATTCATCTTTCCACAGTGTACCATGTGCATTATTAGTCCCCGTTCAGACGAAGTCCGAAAACAGGGACTTATAATTCGGTCTCTGTGCGTCCGTGTGTCTGTGCGTCCGTCCGGAGTCATATCTCAGAATCCCTTGGACCGATTCCGTTCATTCTTTGCATGTGCCTAGTACTTTATGTTGGACATATGCACATGCAGTGGTTTAGCGATTCGATTCAAAATGGCTGACTGGCAGCCATCTTGTTTTTTGAAAATGTTGTATTTTGGACATGCTTTGTCAGTTTTCATTCAAACTTGGTACATAGATTATACATGTTAGGATACATGTCCATGATGATTTATTTCACAATTGGATCAAAGATGGCCGACTGGCAGCCATCTTGTTTTTTGAAAATGTCGTATTTTGGACATGCTTTGTCAGTTTTCATTCAAATTTAGTACATAGATCATACATGTTAGGATACATGTCCCAGACCATCCGTGAGTTCCTGAGTCTGTTCGTCCGACCGTCCGTGTGTCCCTCTGTCCGTGCCTAGGTCTATCCAACGTCATATTTCAGAATCCTGTGGACCGATTACGTTCATTCTTCGCATGTGCCTAGTACCTTATGTGGGACATATGCACATGCAGTGGTTTAGCGATTCGATTCAAAATGGCCGACTTGCAGCCATCTTTGTTTT